TAATGAACTTCCAACTTTTGAAGAAACTTCTGATACCTTGGCTTCTGTTTCTGAAGGCAGTCCTTTTAGAGTTGAATTTATGAACTACTTTAAAAACTGTGCAGAAGATAGTATTAAATGCAATAATATTGAAAGAAATGAATTATATTGTCCACAAATGGCAAATTTGATTTTAAATAAATATGTAGCATTTCTTCCTATGTGGTCTAATATTATCGGTATTCATATAGATAATTCAAACACTCGAGTGAGTAATGGACCCATAGAGAGCTATTTTAAAATTATGAAATACAATGTTTTTGAATGTAAGCCTTGGAAACTTGGAAGATTTATTCGAGGCATTCAAAGTTTCAAAAATTAATTAAAAATATTTATAATCAAGAATTAACTGATCCCATAACTCCAGGGACTCTTATAAAGAGTTCCCGTAAACACAAAAAAAACCAAACAAGTTTTGATAAAATAATGGGTATTAGTAAAAATAGAAAACTTAAAAAAATTCCTGAGTCATGGCAAAAAAGAATAAAGCCAGACTTCGTCACGGACTCTTTCTTCAAGAGCATAGTGTGATTCGCTCATAAAAAGATAAGAATCTTAGTGCTAAACAAAATTCTATCGTATCACCAATACTTAAAGAACACAGCTATTCATGTGCCACAGAAAGCTGTGACGTAAATACTTCTGAAAGAAATTTCATGGACTGTGAAACTTATTCAAAAAGTCTACCAATTTCAACAAAATATTATGTGTTGAACCTGAGCACAGTTTTTCATAAAGTATTTAATAAAAGATGTCATTATTTCGAATACTTTTACATGAAAAGTGATTTATGTACTCTAAATAATGATAAGTGGCTTTTAAATTCAATTTTGGATGCATGTCTAGCGGTTATCATATTTGAAAGTAAAAGAGAGAATTGCTTGTCTGTCCCATTTCAAATTTTGAGAATTTATCATTTTTTGAGCAATTTTTATCGGAGCAACCTCATTTACTTATAATACCGCACATAACGAAAAACCATTTCAAGGTTTCTTTTGTTAATTTTGAGAAAGGTACTTTAGTATGCTTGGATCCCTATGAGGAAAGTGTGTCAAAAAAGCATATTTCCAATCACTATAAGGGATTATTATTAAATATGTTTCCCTTTATCGATTGGAAGATGGAAAGCATAAACTATAAAAAGCAGTCTACTTCTGACTCCAATAATTGTGGAGTTATGTTCTGCAATATTGCGATGCTTTCATAAATAGCTTACCTTTGACTGCATTATTGTCACAAAATCTATATAGATTAAATATGAAAGAAAGGTTAATGAATCATTGCGAAATTTTATTATTCATAAAAGGTATAAATTTTAAATAAGCTTACTACTCTGATATTTTATAATTATATTACAAAAACTATCATCTAATAAATATATACATAAATTTACGTTAGAAGTTCATTAAATTAAACAATGGTAAAAAATGGTAAAAAAGAGTGGACATATTTTTTCCCCACTCGTCTGTCTGTCGCCATTTGCTAATAATGCACTTGGTGACATGCAATCACATGTTAATTTGCGTTAACAAGTCGAAGAAAAATGTTACACAATTTTTCGAGCGCGGTTCAAACCGCTTTAATAAACAAAATAATTAAGTTAGAAGAGTAACTTAATGTAATCGGAAACCCGGAAAGTTTTAAAAGTGTGGTTAAAGTCGTAAATCAACAAAAAAAATACTAGATTTGGTGTCAAATGCAATTTAAAAACTAAAAATAAAATCATGCGAATCGCCAAAGAAGTTTTTTTTTTTTTTTTTTTTTTTT